GATACCGGTTATCGGCTGCATGAGTTTTAAAATATCGGATATCGGCCAAAATCCCAATATCCTGCATCCCTAATATAGTCCTTTTCTATAGTGGGATAAAACACTCAGAGCCCGTGTTGCTATACGAGGCTTTTATAAGGCTTTTTTTTTTTGCGGCTCCAGATAGATTATTTTTTCTTTTTTTGGTCCAATATGGCTCTTTGAGCAGTTTGGGTTGCCGACCCCTGGGTTATGATGACAAAGGAAGGATGATTTCACACCAGCAGGGATTAAACTGCAGACATATTTTGCCGATAAATTTTCTACATAATTTATTTTTTCTAAAAGATCAAGCTTGGTGGTAGATGTTTGAACTTTTGTTTTTCAGGTGGAAGGGGCTGTAACCCGGGCCTACAGCCGCTGGATTGAGGATTTGCCTTCCCTACCGGAGCATCAAACACTTCTCCAAAGAGAAAAGCAGAAATGGGAAGAGCTGCAGGAAGAAGTCACAAGGCAGAAAGTATGAGGAAGATTTGTTTTTATGATTATTGTCAACGGCGTTAATCCTTCTTATTTCAATCTTTTAATGTCGCAGGTGTCCCAGGCCCTGAGGGAAGCAGAGGAGGAGCGGCACAAGAAGCAAGTGGAGCATCCTCAGGAGGAGCTGGCAGCTCTGAAGAGCCAGCTAGAGCAAGCCAGCAGAGAGCAAGCCGCCCTGCTGAAAGCTGAGCTAGCTGCAGCCCGAGCAGCGTGGCACAGAGACAAACAGCAGGAGATCTCCATCATCCAAGCCCAAAACCAGCAAGCATACCAAACCAAGCTGCTGGAGCAGTGCAAAAACCTGGAGCAGGCTGTGCAGGGAGTCCGAGAAGATGCTGACCTCCAGAGGAAGGAGCTGCTTCTGCAGATGGAGGCCAAGCTTCAGCAGGCTCTAAGGACGCGAGAAGAGGAGTGGAGACGCCAGTATGCAGAGAAGGAGCTGGCCCAACGACAGCAGACGAAGGAACAGTTTCTATCAGAGCTTCAGGCTGCCGTGGCTGACGTTTCTACACAACTTCTAAGGCCTTCTGGAGCAGAGCTTCAGCAGTCTGAAGATGGAAGGAGCAGCAGTAGGTCTCCATCACAAGCAGCAATCACAAACATCATTGAAACCGCATGTAGAGAAATGGTGAAGAGGGCAGTATTGGAGGCTAAGAAGGAGTGGAAGAAAGTATGTTTCCATTAACCTTTTATTTTTCCATTATCTGCAATAAGTGGGTTTCTGCTTTGTTTATTTATTATTTTTACTTTTACAGACAAGTGAAGAGAAGCTGAGCAACATCCTAAAAGAAACACAAGAGAGACACACAAGAGAAGTCCACAAAATACAAGGTGTGTATTGCACCTCCATATAGAATATCGCATCATTATTATGTCTTTACAATGTTTAGTTTCTGACCAATTATTGTTCATCGTCTCCAGACTCTTTGTCTCAGAGGAAGGAGCGGTCATGTTACATGAAGGAATGCACCGAAAGCCTCGGGAAGCTGCAGAAGAAGAATCAGGAGCTCCAGAGACATTTAGAGAAAGCCTGCCGTCAACTTCAGCACCGCATCCGTGAACACAAAACCGCCATTCAGGTTCTTAAAGGTATGCATTTTGGTTAACGTTTGTCTGAAACGTAAATAACCGAATCTGAATATGCTGGTAAAGGACAAAGAAGATAGATGGTTTGAGAGGGGGGTGAAGGAAGCTAGCCATGTTAAGAAAGAAAAAACAGCCTGAAAGTCGTAGGAAAATCATATTCAAATGTCAAATCATTCTGGCTTAAACATGCATATAAATGTTCTCTTTATCAGTTGATATAGCCCAAAGAATTTTATATTTTTTAA